AGTCGGGAGCGGTTCGAGACGCGGGTGACGGTGCTGGAGAATGGGCTGCGCGTCGCCTCCCAGAACAAGTTCGGGCAGTTCTGCACCGTGGGCCGTGAGTACCCGCGGCTGGCAGCGGGGGAGGCACCGGGCCGTGTCGCTGCCCCGGTCTGAGCTGGCCTGGCCTGGGCAGGGACGTGGCAGTGACACCTGGGAGCCAGGTGCTTGGCCTGTGTGTAAGGACCGGGTAGGGGGGGTTAAGGCTGACTTAATCTCTTCTTAACGCTAGTTCTTGTAAATTCGGGATCAAGACACGAAGCGAAATACCTCAGTGGCATCTCTCATTTCTTGGAAAAGCTGGCCTTCTCTGTGAGTACCGCACTGGTCGTAGCGGGGTCCTGAAGTCTGTGTGAAACACCCTAAATCTGCACAGCAGTGGGTGACAGGGAAGTGAGGGAGAGGCTGAGGGCAGGGCCTGCGCCTCTGGGTGCGCTGTGGGGTTGATATCTTTAAATAGATGGTGACTATATTCCTAGTTAAATATTGTGACTGTAGTTCTGTTTTGAAAGTCTGTCGTTTCCCAAGTTAGTATTTAGCAAACCGTTTGACTTAAGGAATGTACAAGATGCTGCTTGTTCTAGGCTACACCGAAAGATTATAAACAGTTACTGCTTTACTAATTAATAACACTGATACCTTCTTCCTTAGTCCACAGCTCAGTTTGGCAGCAAAGATGAAATTCTCCTCACCTTAGAAAAGCATGGGGGCATCTGTGACTGCCAGGCATCGAGGTACGATGCTTTGTCTCTGCGCTCTGTTACATGAGGGGTTGTGACACTGATGGTAGTTGGAGTTGCTTTTCCTGGTGTGTGGTGGTAAAAGCCACTTTTTGCTGCTAAGCAGCAGAAATCCCTTTGTGGCGACTGCTGAGAAGTTACAAAAGTGAAACTGAAAGGGCTACAAAAGTCAGTTCTATTTCCTTTTGAAAGCATTTAATGAATAATGGTCAAGCAGCTTTATCTGAGATGCATGTTTACGGAATGATTGCAGACACGACTTTTCAGTCAGAACCTGTTTGCTCCTGTTGCAGGGACACCATCATGTACGCTGTTTCTGCTGACGCCAGAGGCCTGGACACAGTGGTCAACCTGCTGGGTGATGTAGCTCTACAGCCCAGGCTATCAGGTTTGAGAACACAGTCAAAAAAAGACTCCCAACACATGTCTTGCTGTTGGATTTCAGAATTGTTCATGAGATTGTGCTCTTTGGGAGGTTATTGCGTAGCAGTTGGGTATTTTGCCTGGTGGTTGTTACGCTTTACGTTCTTTCTTTTCATAGATGAAGAAATTGAGATGACTCGAATGGCTATACGATTTGAGCTTGAAGACTTGAATATGAGACCTGATCCAGAGCCTCTCCTCACAGAAATGATCCATGCGGTAAACCACTGAAAAGCCTGTCTTGTGTGCAGTCCCCTGTATGACACACGCTGCATTCTCTTTCTCAGTTTTTCCTCAACTTTGGGGCTAATTTTAGACTATTTTGAAACCAGATTTTTCTGTTATTCAATTAGATTTCAGTGGTGAGAGGGAGAATTTTGCCATCCCTCCACTCTGAAATTCTACCTTCTACACACATGAAGGATTTTAACCTAAACCAGAACTACCTGTTACTTATCTTTGTTGACATGGGGGACAACATGTTGTTGAATTACGCTGACTTTAATGAAATAATGCTCAGCCTTTCCTCTCTTACATGTCTCAAACAGGTAGGCATAATTCTAAAACAGAAAAAGGTCTAGATGGAGGGAAGTAATATTTGTTACTTTAATGTATGTTTCCTTTTAGGCAGCCTACAGAGACAATACAGTTGGTCTGAACAGGTTCTGCCCGGTGGAAAATACTGACAAAATTGATCGAGAAGTCCTGCATTCGTACCTGTGTAACTACTACACGCCAGACAGGATGGTGCTTGCCGGGGTGGGAATCGAGCACGAGCAGTTAGTGGAGTGTGCCAAGAAACACCTGCTTGGAGCAGAGCCCGTGTGGGGCAGTGGGCAGACCAGGGATGTGGACAGATCTGTGGCTCAGTACACAGGAGGCATTGTCAAGGTAAAAAGAAAGAGGCGGAGGTGGCATCGTGCCTCTTCCTGTCTGTTGGAGCTGCAGTTTGGATTTGAGCTGGTTTCTCTGTAGGTTTTGCTTTTCTATAATTACATACTGTTCATGAATGAGTCAAAACTGGCCTGACAGCCATTGCCTGCATGACAGGTTAATTATTGGGAACGTATCAAGCTGGATACAACAGAGGTGATAAACAGTCCTAATAATTTGTCTGCCCTTCCCACAGGTTGAAAAAGATATGTCAGATGTGAGTCTGGGCCCTACTCCCATCCCAGAGCTTACCCACATCATGATTGGGTTAGAAAGCTGCTCGTTTTTAGTAAGTATCAATCTAAAATCCTTTGGTTTGGGTGCCCTGTACTTGACGGATCCCAGAATACCGTATCATTATGTAAACATTGGCACTCTTGCTGCTGATGCTGCAAGTACAGACAAGCAGCTTTTTCACTGACAGTTTGATGAAGGCACTGAACTTCATGCTCTTCTCGTGCCATGTTTCTGATTCTTTTTCTCCCTCTTTACTCATCCCAGACCCTTGAGAGCTCTGACTGAATTTCTTGTTGCAATTCAGGAGGAAGATTTCATTCCCTTTGCGGTATTAAACATGATGATGGGAGGTGGTGGCTCTTTTTCAGCTGGAGGGCCTGGCAAGGGCATGTTCACCCGACTGTATCTCAATGTGCTCAACAGGTTGGTTTGTCTTTCTGTTTAAGGGGTTGCAGAAACAGTCTTTTCTAGCAGGTTCACATGGAAGGCTTCATCTTCTGAAAGCCAACACCCCCATCTTATTCAGCTTGAAACAAGCAGCACTGATTTGTCAGTGGGCATTTTGGGAGGATGAAAGTAAAGGGCAGATGTGAGCAGGAGTCCTGTCTTCCTCCACTAGCCCAATCCATCCTTTAATCAGGGGTTATTAACAGAATTGGCAGTAGGTACCAGTAATATTGGTCTGTATTGCTCTGGGCTTGGTCTTGAGGATGCAAGTGGAGAGAAGGAAGCAGATGGCACATACAGAAATTGCCAGAGGCTGGGATTGACGTTTCTCATTGGCACTAGTGAGAATCCTGAAAATGCACTAGGATGGGACTGGGTGTCCGTGTTTGTTGAATTTTTACATTTAAATTCTGTTTTAAAAATTTTAAATACCGTTTGTGTACTCACAGGCACCACTGGATGTATAATGCAACCTCTTACCACCACAGTTATGAGGATACAGGCCTCCTGTGTATACATGCCAGTGCAGATCCAAAACAGGTGGGTAGTCCTGTATTCATAGACAGGCGTCCTTAAAAAGTAATTGCATCACTTACTACTAGACAGTAATGTTAACAGAATAAGCACTGTGCTAATTTTCTTTCAATTATTTGTTTTTCCTAGGTTCGAGAGATGGTGGAAATCATCACGAGAGAATTCATTCTAATGGCAGGAGCTGTAGGAGAGGTCAGCAGCCTATGCAGATGGTCTTTGAGCTGAAATAAGGCATTGCACTGGCCTTGCTAGAATGAATTTTTGTTAGATAAGTATGTTACTTATTTCTGTAAAAGAATATAGCAACCTTAGCAACGCATTCACAAAGAGGAAGGGGTTTGCAAAACTCTTACGTGGTATCTTGTATTAGAGAAGTGACCAGATGTGTTTGAATGTCTATTTATGTATTTGCTGCTCATTTACAGGTAGAACTTGAGCGAGCGAAGACGCAGCTGAAGTCCATGCTCATGATGAACCTCGAGTCTCGGCCGGTTATCTTTGAAGATGTGGGAAGGCAAGTGTTGGCAACAAACACGAGGAAGCTACCTCACGAGCTCTGTGCCCTGATCAGTGAGTACACAATGCTTCTCCTCCCCTTGATTGAACTGTAGCTACGGATTCTTGAGGCACAGATGAATTGCCTTAGAAAGCCTGGGAGCATAAATACTACAGATATTTCAAACTGATCTTCTCAATTGCTTGTAAGCTAGTACAATGCTTATTTTGTCAGAAGGAAGGGAAAAACAGAAGCACGGTAGAAGGTCTAGAGTTAGTGATTAGTTTTCTGAGTAGTGAGTCTGGTTCAGCCTCGTAATAAAGCTGTTTCGTGCTATTTAGAACGTAGTTGTCACAACTCTGGCTTTTTTTTTTTTTTTCTCTTTAGGTCAGGTGAAATCTGCTGATATCAAGAGAGTGGTCACTAAGATGCTTCATAAAAAACCAGCAGTGGCTGCGCTGGGTGACCTAACAGATCTGCCCACTTACGAACACATCCAGGCAGCGCTTTCCAGTAAGGACGGGCGGCTCCCTCGGGTGTACCGGCTCTTCCGATAAAACAGCGCAACCCGCACGTCTGACAGACTTGCTTCTTTTTTTAATATTTTTTTTTTTGAGATTATAATATTGCAGGAAGCCCTTCCTCCCCCATCTTTCCAGGCATACTGTGCAGACACGGAACCACAGCTGAACAAAGCTGCTTCAGAATATGGGACTGTGAAGAGCTCATTATGTTGGGCTTAAAGGTTCTCCCTGGCTCTGGAATGCAGCAAGCAAAAGTCTTCATCACTACAACTGCAAGCATCTATCTGAGAAGCTGTCAGTCACTGCTGTATGTAACTCCTTCATCACAGCAGCAGTAGCTGTGGGGCTGTTGTACTGGAGGCCCTCACGTGTGCCCTTCTTGAGGAGTGGGGTGGCACGTTAAAGAGCTTTGGCTTACAGAGCTGAATTCAAAGAATATTTATAGCTGTTACCAAGGTGAACAAAGACTCGGTCAAAGTGAATGAGGAAAATTAAGTTATTATCCATGTGAAATTTAGGCAACAAGTTTCCTGTGGTCCAGGTTTTGTTACAAGCATCATGGATCCACTTCATCAGTGAATTTACCATCTCTAGTACTACTAGAAATCACATGTCTGAAATAACTTCTGCTAGAGCTCAGGGGAAAGTAGACCTATGGCATAACTTAACAGTTTCTGGGGCATCCATATACAGAGATGCTATGCACAATGCGACATGGACACTTATTATAGAATTAAATCAATCTTATTCTTTAGGTTTTTCACTTGCAAGTGAACTGTGCTAAAGAATAAAAGGTTTTTTACTCCAGAGTTGGTATTCAAACAGGAAGTTATTAAAGGAGTTAACTGCTGCACCCTACTTTCTTCAAATTGTCGGGCAAATGAACCTAAGGCCTTGCAAAAAGAAGACATAATTGTCAATCTCAGAGCAGAGATGAGCTCAGCTAGGAATCAGGGTCACCAAAATGATGTTCAGAGAGCTCATGATCTTGAAAGCAACTGACACAAAGCCACGCATCTGATGTACTGAAGAAATGGGAGACCCAAAAGAGAGGAGATAAAATGTCTGATTTACATAATCCCCTAACATGGGTTTAAAAACAGCTGCATTGCAGCACTTCACTGGCTCAGTGTGCACTGTAAGGAGCAATCAGACTGGGAGAACACTGAGGCAGCTATTACTGGCTTTATCCCCATACCCTTCCTCATGTAACTACAAGAAAACGCATCGCGTTGCTTCTTGTGGAACCCACAGTATGGAAATCCTGTTCAGTTGTTGTGTATGTTTGTAAGAAAATAAAGACTGGAGCAAGTAGTTCATTAGCTAATTGGTGGGTTTCTTGAACTGACCGGTGAAACGTGCTTTGTTCAATGCAAATGATCCCAAAGAAAACTCTCCCACTTTTCCAGCTGAAGACAAATGGCTCAGGTCACCCGAGCGGGGAGCATGCATCACACAGTCAAAGAACCCTGCAATAAGAGCTGGTTCTCATTTCAGGTATTGCATTAATTTATTTGTATTCCTTTAAAAAGAAAGGAAATCAAATACCTGATGGCTACAGACAGGTCAGTGCCAGAAATGTTTGTACCGCAGAACAGAAGCTCTGTCTTGGACAGGTTGCATAGTTAGCAGCACTTCCTCCGAGTTGTTTGCACGGTGTTTTATATATTAAGGTGATTAATGATCCAGCTGGTCTGTGCCCGTGAAGAGTTTTTAAGTATTAGCTGTACTTAACATTTTACCAGTACCATACTGGTCCATGTAGTATGTTTAGCCTTAAGACAACACTACTTCAAAAAGAGCAAGTTATTCACAGTTCACTGAATTGGAAAAATAAAACCAAAAGGAATAGACTGTAATCGGAGGTAATGGAACTGCGCTGGTCTGACCCGCTGCAGTTTCTCTGCGTACTTCCTCAGCGTACTGATGACCTCGTAATCACTTTGGTGAAGCATTACACAGCAGCTGTACTTGGACCATTCTTTTCAACTCACGTGTCCTGCTGCTGAAGGCAGGCAGTGGTTTATCACCCCTGGGCAGGGCAAGTGAGTTAAGGAAGGGATTATTTCAAGCAGCCTCAACAGCCCAATACAGGGTATGAGATTGGTATTTACCCCCTTAGTAACAGAAGGCCTATAGAATAATTGTTGAAAGGCAATGTTTCTACACTTCAAATGTACAGTAGTACATTCACACAGATTGTGCTGTGGAGGACCAAAAAAGCCCAACACAGGAGCACCATCCTTACACAAAACTGCCCAAGTCCCCTAACTGGTCCCTGTTAGCATTTTACAGAACACCATACACTTGGCTACAGACAAAAAACCCACAACTCCACAACATAGGTAAGGTAACCAGATCAAATCAAACAGACAAACAAAAATATTCACCTTTCTGCAGGCTTTTCTTAGGTCCCTTGCCCCCGTCATGCCAGTTCCAGAAGCTGTGCCCCTGTGTGGAGTCATCTTAGAACCAAGAGACTGCACCCGGTTGCTTCCAGAGATAGTATGGTTAAACATAAATCAATTATATCTGTTGGGATGGATGTCCTAAATAACTGACTCCTTTTTCTTCAGCAAAAGCACTTGAGCTACATGGATTAGCTCATGCAAATGAATCCAGGATGAGGTTTAAGACATTGTTCACAAGCCACAGCAACTGCCAGAGGTGCTTAAGCAGACAATTCCCTGCAGAGTTTGCCGTGGCCTGAAATCCTCCTTCTGGGCACCTCTAACACAAGCACTGCAGAGTTCTCAGCTCAGGAAACGCTACATACGCTGCTGGATTTTTGGTCCTTTTGCTCTTGCCGTTTCTGAAGTTCCCTTGTAATCCGCCTCTTTATCCCGATTAAATAGAGTTCTCTGTCAAACTGCCCTGCAGCAAGGGGAATGCTACAACGTAAACACAAGCAATTAGATCAGGGCACAAATACATTCTTCTTGTTTGCCCAACATTTCCCAGCTAGTTGATACAACAAAGGCCAGAAACCTAATTTTTACATTCTTAAGGCATTCAGATACCGCTGTGGGAGAAAATGGGTAAAACAAAGTTGTCCTTCCACAGAGTAAGTTAAGGTTTTTCACAATACATTTTAAATGAAGAAAATATTGGTTGTAAAAAGCAAAGGTACTTTCAATTTAAGCATGAACACGCCTGTATTCATAAAGGGCATACATGGAGGGCATTCTTTATGACCCTAAACCAAAAAACATTCATTTGAAAGCTAAACTAGCTGTCAGCTTGGTGTCAACAGTTCTTACCTTGCTCTGCTCTAGAGGCCGCAAGCAGCCCAGCTTCACAGACTCCACAATACTTCTATTTAATGGGTATTTGATAGACATAAATGAAAAAACCCCAATTCTAATTGCACTGCTGCTCAAGTGCTTTGAGAAATCACCATTTCCCAGATACCTGGGTCTTGAAATCCCTGACCATGCTACTCACAGAAAAGAGACTAAATTTCAGTCACTTAACCGAATTTTCTAAGGACTTCTATTAGCATGGCAGCCCACAGTGGGACATTAAGAAACTCTGAGGATCTCTACTCCACTGACATAGAGCTATGTTGAAATGCAGCCACCACTGAGGAGAGAAAACTGCATTGATCCCAAAGAGGGAAAGAGGAACAGAAGAGGAAAGGTGATAGGAAAAACAGAGAGCTGCATCTCAGATGAAACACAGATTTATAGTCGACTGCAGTGGACTCTGTTTATCTCCCTCAGGAGGATTAAGGGATGTGGCAGCAGGGATTTCAGATGTCAGTGCAAGGTTTAAGCGCTCTTGCTGCTCTGACCACTGAGAACATACATTGGGCAAAAACCAAACAGGCCGCAGAGAACTACACGGGAGAAACTCTATTTCAGGAACTCTCCTAAGAGGACAAACTCCGAACAGGAGCATATCCTCAGGATCACTGGAGCCATGTGCAATAATCCAAGTGGCATAAGGAGGTACTAACTTGTCTCTGCCAGGCCTCACTTTCACACGAAACAAGGCAAATACAGGCCGGTGGTCTGAAGTTTTGATCACAGGACAAGATGAATACTTGACAGCATGGATGTCATCTCTGTACCGACTGCGGTATACAACTCGATCCTGGGAGGCAGAGAGAGAGAGGAGACTGATGGTCACTCCCTTTGCACATCCACCCCAGAAAGAAGCACTGAGAGCTCTTCACGAGAGACAAAACCATTCATTTATCACACTCTGTGAAATTAAGTGTCTTGGACAGGGATACATTCATGAAGAATGTTTGATCCCAACAGCAGTTCTGTGCCCAGCTCTGAGCACAGGGGAGAATGCAGTGGGACAGGACATAAGGCAGGGAAACGAAGATCAGCAGCCTGTGCCAAACTCTGTGCTCACAGGCTCAACAATCCTTTCCTCCAAACCAGTTCCACATGCCCCCTTCCCCTTAAGCAACAAATCTCAGCACGATCTCATGCAGACCAGCTGTGGAAGGCAGCTTTTTCTCACAGGTGAGAAGCCCCTTTGGAGGCAGATGTGAGGCCAAGCAGTGCTTCTGAGTGTGCTGCTCTGAAATAATCCCTTACCGTGTAGGAAGGAGTCCTTTGTTTGGAAGTGGTGTCATAGCTGTCCTTTCCTATGTCAAACTTGTAGGAAGGACGGAAATGAATGTCAGCCTCTTGGAATCCTTTGAAAATAGACCCTGTAAGGAAAGGGGGGAACAGCATGAACAACAAATTCCTCCTTCCTAAGAACCCAACACACTTTCTGCGTTTATTCAACACTGTTCAACTAATGCTGGCTAGAAACAAGTCATGTATATACATGACTAGAAAAACCTGGGCTTGGGCTCCAGAAAGGGAGCAAACTCAAGTTCTTACATAGTGATGATTTAAAATAGCCAGTGGCTATTTAAACAAAGAACACTTGGTGCATGCACCTCCCCTGCCACTGAAAGCTCAGGATGCCTTGCAAATGCTAGCTGTTCAAATCTAAACAGCCTAGAGAGTGACAGAATGATGTCCAGTTTATAGAGGAGTCAGATGAAACAGAGCAGTAAATGGTTGGGGAGATTACACTATCTATAACAAAATGCTATGGCACGAAGTCCCTGGTACAGACTGCAACTGTCTTTAACAACTGCTGACTTCCTTTTTAGGGCAATTTAACATGAGAAAGCCGGAAAGGTCTCTAGGAAATAGGGATTTGGCTGTAATTATTTCTGTGTGTAGGTATCTTTGATCCTGGAGACTAGGGAGGAAAGCAGCTGTCCCTCACCCCTACTCATTTCACTAGTAAGCTGGTCATATGCCAGTAGCTTGGAGACGTCTCTTTCTGGGTTCTGGTTCAAGATGGAATCCACCGTCTCACGATCCTTATTCAGTCGGAAGTTGAAGTCACCAAACCAGAATACTTCATCAAACCGAGTCGTGACATCACCTGCAAATTCAAGCCAGAAGCATGAATATGAAGGTAAACATCCCAGAAAGTTCTGAAAACAAACAAAATATCCCAAACTTTGCTTCCCTGAATCTCCTTTAGACTTCTGAGGAAAACTAAAACGTATGATGTAGCTACATGCTCATTAAAGTGAAACTCGATTCTTTCCAAGTGACAGCTGTATGATGTGTTACTGAGAGTGCTGCTAGAGATGTTCAAAGAACAGGAATAAATTTTTTCTTTTTACTACCAGGAGATATAATACTTAAGCATGTTTTCTGTCTGTGAGCATCACAGTATGTGGTAATAAAAAATAGTAGAACACAGAACAGAAATTTAAAAAAATCATAGAAAAAGCTAAAAAGATACCAAACTATCTATAGGATCTAAAAGCATATGAACACAAAAACCTAATGCTACACTGCAGATAAAGAGTAAATTAATCTTTCTAGAAAGAAGTCTTAGCTATATATCTAGATGTCATGTTAACAGCACAGCATTGAGAAACAAGAATAGAATTTGGCAAACAATACTCTGACCTGTGTATATGCAAATTGAAATACTGTTCTTTCTCTTAAGTTTTTAAATAAAGAAATTTCTGCTTGTTCTAGAAAACACTTGGAAAGTGAAACACATCCATAATGGTGATAAAAGTTACACCAAAATTATCTTACTGCTGTTCTGAGAAAAAATACATCACATGAAAATTCCTTTTGAATTTTCTCTCTCCTCTTCCATTGCATCTTTTTCTCTCAAATTCCCCCCTCCCAAATTACGCCCCACCTAAAAAAAACACAAAAGCATGTGAATAATAACCATCCTCAGAAAAAAAGACCTGTGGTCTGTTTTTATACTGTTTCAAATTAGCACTCTCATTCTCCCTCCCTTAGTGCAGACTGAAAGACAGTGCACAAACGCTGTTCATTTGGGCTCCCATGCCAGCACGATTTCACACTTACTAGAACTGGATCGGTACGGGTTTGTGTCTGGAACATTCTTGGGAAGTGTAAGGGCTTGAATGGTTTTATTGTAGTCCAGTTTCCTCTCATTCACCTTACTGTCCCCAGCTGAAAGACAGAAATCCCATTACTGCCAATGATGCATCATTTTCATTCAGTTGCCATTTTTGGTTGTAACAGGAGCTTCCAAAGGACATCAGACATTTTCCACATGGAAAATGTAACACTCTGACCCAGGGAGCATACACACTGAAAAGTAATGACAGAAAGTGTGGGAAAAGGGATATAATTGTGCAGAGTTCATTTCTGTTTTTCTAAACACAGTTCTTTTGTAAGCTTGCTACCAAAAAATCCTCCTCCCTTATTGTTCTCAGCTCAGCAATTCCAAGCTCTGACTTCCGTCTGTCCTGCTCCTCTATCCCCCTGCAGCTTTTTTACCTTTGTAAAGCAACTCCCCTCCTCCCTCAATCAGGACACTGCTAACAAGGCTGTAAATGTCTCACATGTGAAGTGGGAAGTGATGAAGAGAAACGAGGTCCCAAAAAACGTGAAGCAGATTCCCAGAGCTCCCTTGGTTTTGATCTGAGACACGATTCGAGTTGTCACCGTGGCATACTCCACTTCTGGAAGGAGAAAAAGAAGTTACTTTCAGTGGAAAGCCTCTGGAGACAGTGAACAGGAAAGTTAGGTGATGGACAACCCTGAAGAAAAGGCCAAGATGGCAGCACCATTCACCTCCCCGCTTTCCAGCTCTTACTGGACCACAGACCTGAGCAGAACCAGATCAGGTCCCTCCGGATGAAGACTGACATGTACAGCACCCCATGAGCAGCAGAGTAGAGCATGACGTAGTGGGGGCCTAGTGTCTCTTGCAGGCGGATCTCCCACTCCCTTCTGCAGGAAAGAACAACAGCTGGATCACAAGGACAGTACAAGAGACAATAACCAGGAAAGGAAATTAGCATTGTGAGAACTGAGAAATCCATCTCATAAAAAACATCAAGTGTGAGTAAACCCTCCACTGCCGCAGCGATGGCTGGTCAGTTTGATGTGTAACTCCACACATGCCACGCAGCAGGTTCTGCATGTTGGTGAGAGTATTAACTGCCACGGCACGGAGCAGCTGGCAGATCTGAGGAAAAGAGAGGCCCACTGGGAAGACAGTCTAAAAAAAGCAGTCTGACATGAGGCTTCAACCTGCTCTTCTAAGGTGGGTCAATCTCAGACAGACTAGAAATTTGCAGCAAATGCATCAATGAGCACGTGGCTGCTAACGTGAACAGCCAGCTCCCATCTGCCCTAAGATGTCCACAGAAATCAGGCAGGAGTTCTGCTGTTAGCTTCCCTGACAAGAGGACCAAGTTCTGTATTCACAGATTTTTGTCACATTTTCCTCTAAGACCCATTTCCCCTGTTGCTCATGCAATGGAATTCAGTCTTATTAAATGGGTTGTTTCTTGGAAATACTAAGAATATGATGGAGACTGTTTCCAGACTCATTAAAAACAAAGTAATTAGTTAACAATAAAAGAGGATGGTTCATTACATTGTTTTTGCTACCTGTCTGGACAGCCTTCTTGAACTCCAATGACATACATGTCCTGGGCATAGTCAGCATCTGTTGGCAATAAGAAGTCATCCAGATTCACTGGAAGTTCCTATTATTAAAAAAAAAAAAAAAAAAAAAAAAAAAAAAAAAGCAGTATTAGTTATGCAAAGATTTACTAGAAAAGTCTAAGAAAAGTCCAGGCTATGAGTTCCACAGCATATGCAAACAATTCAGGCTTCAAAAAATAGGTTAGGTGATAATACTAAACTTTTCCTTCCCAAAGGCAAACTTCAACTGCTGTCGCTGCAGCAGCAACCAAGATTCCACAGTTCAGCCGCATGGGTCAGTAACGTGACGTTTCTGATTTCCTGTGACACTTGGTTTTTACCAGGCTCATAAACTATTTACTTAACACCCCAGGGGTTGCCTGTGTTCTTCCAAGCACAGCTTCTCAGTTAGCGGGTAGAATCAGTCTTGAATTGCTAGGCTACACAAAGATGTAGGCAGGAGGCTGTGCTCTTTATCAGAGATGTTCTTGTCAAGCACTAAATTGTCAGCCATCTTCACATGACCCTAATGGCAACGGAATGTGAAGGAGCTGCCACAAAAAGCCAGAGCGGCCCTAGCAAGATCACAGTTTTCACACTTGATATCTGAGTAGCCCCGTTACAATGACTCTCTCACCGAGATGAACATGCATGAGAGGGCCCTGTAATTTGATAAAGACGAACTCAGGTTGATGAAGAGCAGTCATGAACAGAAGAAACACACTGCACCACCGCTTGCAGTAAAAATGGGGTAACTTTACCACTGCCAAAAGACCTGTGGAGGCTGATGTGCACATACCTTCTGACCCTGCATGTTCCAGGTGGCCACAAAAATTCCAATATTCCGATCCGGGAAATACCTGCTAAGTTCTTCTGCTCCCAGTAAGGCACCACTTGCCAGAAGGCTGCCTTCCAAATAGCTTCTGTGAACAGAAGACCCATAAAAGAGCATCTCAGTAAAGAGCATGAGAGTTGGAATAATGATTTGTAACGCTTGAATCTTGAATCCATCAAGAACATACCTTTAGCTCAAAAAAATGGCATTTATTATTTATATATTGTTCTGCTTGTCTAAAATTCCTTATACAGTTCCAACCCCTACAGAGAGTTCACGGATCATATGCAAGAAACCAAAACTACTGTCATAAACTGGCCTTTCCACAGCCAGGACACAAGTATGATGGTGAAACTGATGCTGCACAAGTTCTGTGGTGACTGAAGCCATCCAGAGTCTTCAGTCCCCCTAGTACTTACCGCAGACACAAAATGAAGAGATTGGTTTGATAGTCGAGTATCTTGAAGCAGCTCAGTGTACCTAAAACATGAAAATAGCTCCACCCTTCCCACTGTTCTGGCACCAAGTTGCTCTTAATCAAGGATTCAAACTCACATTCTTCCTTCAGTTGAGCTCATCAAATCAGCTTTCAAGTAAACGATTTATTGAGGCTGAGGTCTAAAAGAGTATCACATTTGAAAAGGACAGATCCTCCCCACACCGCCTGTCTCTCCCAAGAATGTACTCCTTACAAAATCAAGGGCATTGGCAAAAGGACTGCAAGCTGAATAAGCATTTTTAATCTTGCTTAAGATCTGCAAATAATTATGACAGCACGATGTCAGGGAATGCTCTGCAACGCAGCGGGTCTGCCCAAGCTGCTCACCTGACTCCAACAGCTTTGCAGAGGGAAGTGAAAGAAAACCTTCACTGCCAACTAGTAACAATCTATCTTTAGGGCTTTTTAACCAGTTAGTTTAATTTATCTCAGAATTATTTGCCCCTGTACCCTGGCCCGCTCTTTGGACCAACGATCAGATTTATCCCTCGAGGTCTTGCAGTCTGTTGTGTGTCTAACACGTACAACCTTTAGCTGAGTCCTTGGTCTCCTTTACCTTTTAACACGTTTCCTGACCTGTGGTATTACCAATAACACTCCTTGCAGTGTTTGTGCTGTGTGCTGGCAGATCTTCACAAACAGAGGGCCTGCAGCCAACATAAGAAGAGGATTCGATACACTAGCAAGCAGATTAATAATCCCACCTCAGTTCCCTCCAATCAATAACCTAAATTTAACTGAGAATGAAGACAAACGAGCAACCAGAGCAAGAGGTTAGGGCCACACTAGAGGAGAAAGTGCTGAGATCTGAGTGGAATCACACTCTTCCTTAAGAGATTCCTGGAAAAGCTGGGGCAGGGGAGTTCCTGTGGGGCACTGAAGTGGTTCACAGCATATGAATTGATCCTGCCAGAAGACAAACAAACTCAACATCTGCAGAGGACCCACAGCACCTTACAGGGTTGTGACAGTACTGAATGACAGTTTCAAGCTAAAACACTTGGGGTTTTTTCCTGCTGTTTAACATTGCAGTTCAAACGCAACGTACTTTTAGATTTGTTTTTTTAAAAAAAGTTATTCCCAACTGTTAGTGTGTAGCAGCCACTTTTTCTTAATTTTCAAAACGAATTACTTACAAGCTGACAGCAAATCAAACTTATGTTTATGAAAAACAATACTCAGCTGAAAGGAGCACATAAAGAGTATTTGTACTAACCTCTCCATCTTCAAACTGTTTCCAGGCTCCACAGCAGGTTAAACAACACAGAACAACTTTTGTGCTTTACCAATCCGTTTGAAGTTCCCTGCCTCTGCCCAGCAGGACTCTGCAGGGCCGCTGGCTCCCTGCTAACACCCCCCAAAACTTGGCCACGAGAAGCTGGGGGACATACCTGCTTCGAACATCCTTGGAGCGAATGGGAGTGAGCAGGCTGAACGTAGATTTCATGGAGTCTGTGGAGCAATTATCATAGACCATCCCGTTGCCATGCAGCCTGGTATCGCTCAAGCTGCTGCTTACCCTCCCAAACTTGTGCTGAGAATAATGGCGATAATCCAGACAATCTGAGTCGATCCTATTAGATGTCCTCAGTGTGTGAGAGGCCACATTGAGCTCCACAGGTGGCAGAGGTCGAGCCGGCATTATTTGGGACAGCCGGGGTTTGCCGCCAGCAAATGCTTTCCCCCGCAGAAGCCCACCAAAGGCACTGGAGATCTCGGAGGCTCGTTTCCCCAGGTCAGAGGTGCTTCCTCTGCTCTTCCCCACGGGACTGGCTTCCAGGGCGTCTGGTGAACCGTGCAAGGAAATCTCCTGGCAGCACTGACGGCAGGGGCTCGCCCTACTCCTGACAGGAGGGCTGAGGGATGCCTCCTGCAGAGAACCGTTTGAGGAACTTGTCTCGTTGGGATCAGTCAGACTTTCCTGACTCGTTCTAAACCGCCGCCACCTCCTCCAGCTTTTCTCATCCAGAGAGGCAGCACGCTCCAGCCGGGGTTTCCGAGGAGGCCTTGGAGTGACCGATTTAATTTTCATATTAGCTTTGAGTTCATCTGGTAGAAACTTTAAGGTTTCATTTAAAGAGGTGCCTACGCTTGGAGGATCTTCAAAGGTAAGCACCCCATTGCTACCAGCTGCTGCCTTTGCTGCTTTGCCAGCTTTTTTAGCGTGTAGGTCCTGTACTGCTCCACCCTCCATGCTCTGAGTAACACATGCCCCTGAGTGCTGTGGAAATCCATTGGGAGTACTCATTCTCCCCCAGGTACCAGCTATGGACACTACTCCATAGGAAAAGTTCCTCACAGCATCGTTTCCTTCCCTTGCTTACCCCGTAGGTTCACAGGGCTTTAATAAAGCCAGAAAGACATGGAGATTGAAAATGGCTCAGTCTTTAGTCGAGAATGAAGAGCAGGTGTATGTGTGGGCAGATGCATTGTCTGCAAAATTTCAAGAGGTGGGATACCTGGATTTCCCCAAGAGAAACACGTAAGAATGAAAAATTACTGAGCTGCAAACTCTGCTCCTTAACCAGAAAGCAAGCTCATCACAGGACCTCCCTCTAGAACAATTCGAGCCTTAACGTGACCTTGTTAGAAAACCAATGTTATTTCCTTTTATTTTCAAGAGCAGAGCAGTGAACCGACTTCCTCGCTGCTGTAGGCATCACGGCTGCGTACGGACTTCTTTAAGACAAGGTTGCGCACACTGGGAGCGTGGAAGGAAATTAAAACTGCACATAAATGACAGCTTGCTCTCCTAGCCGTACAGTGAATCACCAATACAACCGCCCTCCAGGCTGCCCACAGCCACTCTGTGCCAGAGGCCAGGAAATTTCCAGTGACCTCAGCTTCTGCCGCGATCACGCAGCGGGGACATCACCGCCACCTTCACTTGCTTTGTGCCAACCCCTGGCCACTGCGGCTGGAAGTGAGAAGGTACCTGAGTAGTTTTAGGGATCCTACAGCGGGGTTCAAGGCAAACTCCTACTCGGGGCAGGGGGAAGCACTTTGTAATTCTGCAGTTACCACAAACCAACCTTCCCACCCGCAGCGGTACGCTCCGTAGCTCTACACTGGAAACGCAAACCCCTGTAAAAGCGCCCCCGAATGCTATTTCTGGGCCCGGGGGGGGGGGATCA